TGTAAGAATATGTTTTGCCATGACAGGAAATAGATCGACTGTTCTAATACAAAGGATATTTTGAGAAAATGATCATACATGGTTTCTTAAAGGTATTGTTTAACAATGTTAAATCTGAGATGCATGGCTCTATGTGTTATCAGTGTCTGTGATATGGTGTAAAATTGGAGCCCTAAAAAAAAATCACGCTTCAAAATGATCAAGAAGTGCTTCAAAAATGTAAAAATCTTTCAGGTTTTTACCATACTCGCTTTCCCTAATAGACTGTATGAAAAACGTTAGGAAAACGCAAAGTTTGGTTTTGATTTCCAATCATAAATATCTTGTTAATCAGACAGGCGATCGGCTTGTAAAAGTCATGGGGTTCCTATAATTATCATTGCAGCATGAGCTGCAGGATTTTGTTTCAGAATCTGAGACAAAGTTACCAGATCCCTTTAACTATAGGACAGAAGATGAGAGAAGTACCGGTATGTAAAATGTCAATTTGACATTTAACTCACAAATTCATTGCAATCCTAAAACCTTAATGTTGAAGTTAATGGGACTACCTTTATATCCAAGTGGATGGATGAAGAAGGAGATTGCCTAGATTGGGTGCCATTTTATCTCAAAACGGCTTCACCAAATCTTGTTGGATTTCATCCCTTTTTCCTGCCACAGAAGCAAAGGTCTTTACCAACCCTGTTTCTATTTATGGAACAGTTGTCCCTCAACAAATGTTTTCCTGCTCTATTTGTATAATCATTAAAGGGGAAGTCTACCCTTATAATTAACTGGTCTTAATAAAGGCAGAAAAAAAAGAGAGAAACAAATGAGTGAAAGTTTGAGCAATATCTGATTAAAAGTAGGAAAGTTGTGAATTTGTTGAAGTTGCCATTAGTGAAACACAAATTGGCAACACTGTGACGTATCTTGCGAGGTCCTCTCCAACTGGGTCTGTACAGAAACTTTCATTTTCTAAGTTACTGATGGCGGAAAAGATTCGTTTTATACAAGGGTCGTGTAAAAATATATTTGAAATAATTATATCTAGGGTGTATGATTGAACATTTCTTTGGGGAAAATAGACATATTTGATTTTTTGCCTTGACTCTTACTCACTCAGCCAACTTGTTTTATCTGGTGGATAGCAAGCATCATGAATAGGGGACATCTGGGTGAGCAAACGTCTTTGGACCTCTCTACAACCTTGTTCAGACTTGTTGCAGTAAACCACCTAACAAAAATATCGCTCCTGCAAAATGATATAGTTTTGATGTTTGATGATTGTTTTACCTGACTGCTAAGAAAGCATGTACAGTATATGCTTGTAAATTAGCAACCAGGGGACCGGCAGCTTTTAAGTCCTCTCCAAGGGACTTGGTAATGAGGATTAATGCCTTACCAAAGAGCACAAGCGCATTGACTTGGTTTCGAATCCAGGACCTCCTGGTTACGAGACCAGTCCTCTACCACTGAGCCATCGTGCCTACTCTAGTTTAAGCATAGTATTGGTCACACATCTGTAGATTATAATACATACATCACAGATTATGTTTAGGCAACCTTTTTTGTATGTCAAAAGCCTGTTTTAACCTCCATTCTATATACATTCTAGCCCATCTACACTAGTTTATCCAGGAGGGATTAGACCTCCCTGCAAGGTCACTAACAGGTGGTTATCTCACCAAATCAGCTCTCAAGAAACATAAGAAAAAGGGGATCATGGGGGGACCAACGGGTACTGCTTAGGCACTGTTTGCTACATAGAGGGCGCACATACATGTAGCTTCAAGTAGTGCAGTCCTGCTTTAACCTTCATTTTCCATATATTCTAAGTTTAAAAAAAAGAAGATTTATTTTCCATGGTAGTTTTCTTGAGGCAGGTTACAGCACCATGTCTGAACAAGGCTTATGAATCACCGGACATGAGGGCAATGGACCAAGGAAATCAAGATATGTTTGGGAAAGATTTCCTTGATGTGTTCGGATAGGACAGATCCTGCGAGTAGATTGGAAAAAACACACAGGGAATTCTGGAATAAATTTAAAACCAAGGTTACTTCATTTAGTGAACTTTACTTACTCATTAAATATGCCTTGTTCTGTTTAGACTGTCACTACGGTGATTGTAAGAGCGATGCAGGCTTTCATAGAGTTTTGATAAGACCCTTTCATCTTCCATTTTAGACAAGCATATCACTTGAAGGCAAAAGACCTTTAACAGGGGGGTGTTTCACAAAGATCCTAAGTTAAAATTATCTCTAAGTTGGACTTAACAAATATGGAAAGCTGAAGCATCTTTGAAAATATTTTGTAAAATATATAAAAAGGCATAAAATGTTGATTCAAATCATTCATATTTTGTATTATCAAGGAGATTTCATGTTCTTGATGCCGAATCTATGAAAAGTCTAAAATACTTGAATTTTTGCTTTTGAATACATTTGCTCTTAAGGCTGCAAATAGCTCTCCATAATGTTTAAGTCCAACTTAGAGTTTACTTTGACTTAAGATCTTTGTGAAACACCCCTCTTGTCTTGCTTTTTTTTAATTTTAAAAAGTGTGGAAATGATTTTATACAATTTATGGAAATGAAATTAGTTTTGAAGGGAAGAGAGATTCTTAAGGAGATAAGATTTTGTGAACTCTTCTCAAGGACAAAATTTTTGAATCAAATGGTTTGGGCATAAAATAGGAAGAAGTTACACATGAAGAACTTTTCATAGTGTAGTTAGGATGTGTCCTAGCCATAACACATTAAGGGAACAACATCTTATCAATGAAATCTCATTTTAGCAGTATGGCCTCCTAAAAGTACAGTAGGGATGTAAATAGTTTTCAGGAAACAAATAATGTAATCTACAGATGACAGAGAGATATCTAGGTTGAATTCCGGCAAAGCGAGAGAAAACTTGCAATACAAACAAACAGTGTTCATCACCAAGAGCTACAATAAAATGATCTAAAGATAAGGTCAAAGGGCATTCCCTGGTGTGGAAACAAAATAACAGATACATCCCCCAAAAAAATCGGAGACAAAATGAAAGTAGAAAACAAACTATAAAGGAAGTCAACATTAGGAACATCCTAAAAAACATATTTCCAAACAAATTAAGGACCTTCTTGGACAGGAAAGTCACAATTGTCACCTCTCTGGGGAGACCTTGTCACAGACATGGATTTGAAGCGATCGATGTTTTGCCAACGTCTGGGCAAGCTATTTATTTTTAGAAATGTTGACAGTCACTCCCCGAGGGATCTAGACTAGTTCCATGCTTTACATGACACAACAGTGAGTAAAAGGAAGAAAGTCGTATATATAAGGAAATCCTACTTCCAGCTGTTAATCACGATTAAAAATCAAATTCATGAATCGGCCAAGTCTTCTTATAAACCGTCTAGAAACCCCTCTTCATATATTTTTGGGATATGATTTTAATCCCGAATTTGATGACTTGAAGCTTAAACGTCCGGGTGATAAAGGGTCTGATTCACAGGCAATCGTTTGAGGTCTTGGGCTCGGTGGGATTCTAGATGACGTCATAGTATGAGGAATCTGGGACAACTTGGAACAATCAGTTAGCATCTATGAAATTCAATATGAGATATTTTGGTCAGTCCTATGACACATGCTCTGACGATAGGTCTTCTTCAATTTCCTACAGTAGTTGAAATCCAAACTTCCATCCAGGGCCCGTTTCATAAAAATTACCATTGATGGTAACTTTGTCAGCAATGGCAACTACCATGGTAACAGGGCTAAACAGCCAATCAAAATCCAGGTTTCCATGGTAGTTACCATTGATGGCAAAGTTACCATCAATGGTAAGTTGATGACAAAGTTACCATCAATATTTAGTTTTGTGCAACAAGGCCCTGGACTTACACCAGACCTAGGCTACAGAGTATTATGTAAACCTAACCCTAAGTGAACCTAACCCTCAGCGAACCTAAAACTAAATTGCTAAAACCCTGTATGTATAAAGCTCAGAAATAATGTGCAAAAAGCATGCACCTACAATTACAGACACCAGGGGAGTGTTTCACGAAGACTAAGATTGACTTTGACTTTGACTTAACTTATGGCAGGCCGTTCGTGCCACTATTGCTCTCCCCATTATGATCTTTAGATTAAAAATTTCCTTCAATAATGAATTTTCAAAATAGGTAAAATTCTGTAGATTTGTGACCATGATTTGTACGCCCCTTGAGAAACCGATGCCAGTAAATGGCGAGAGCAAACAGTGGTATGAACGGCCTGCCATAGTTAGGTCCAACTTAGAGTCATTCTTAGTCTTAGGGTGGGAAAGGAAAAAATAAGGAAGTAAAAACTTGGTGTCTTCTGGATAAGGTTTGTGAGCATAGTTTCTATAAAGTTGAGCCGCACAAGGCATACTTAAGGCTATTTGATGGTGATCAAACACAGGCATACAGACAGCTTGTTCACTAGCTAGACACACAAGAAACATAGACACAAATATCTTACATGGATATAATCCGGTACGCAGACAGATATGGTGTATGCAAGAAGATAGACAGCCAATGCAACTATACGGGCTGACCTCGCATTCTTAACAGGTACACAGTGTTTTGTTGGGACGAACAGATAAAACATGCAACATGTTCATCACAAAAAAAAAAAAACCACACAGACAACCCGACACATTCATACAAGTACCACAGAGATAGACAGACATATACATGTAGCATGTTCAAAGGGGAAATTGAATGAAACAAGACAAATTGATTTTACATAAACCGTACAGGGCAGCACACAAAGAAATAGTTTATTCAATGGGGAAAAAAGGTATGATATTACCACAAACAAAACTTGACAAAATGTACTTTAGGAGGCTAAATAAGTTTTTAGGTATCTAAGTTCAATGCAAACCCTCTTCCTAACCCAAACACTAACCCTTAAAAACTACCGGTATGATAAAATGGTTATACAGGCGCTAGTTAACAACCTAAATGATGTAGCCCCTATTATATGCATGTATGGTCATTGCTCTTACCTTGGTTTGCTGCTGTTAATCGTTTATAAGACATCTACCATTGCTATGTTGGGCAACCTCAGCTAGGAGGTGAAATGGACAGGATGCTTCCAAATGGAAAATGCTGAATTACAGGACACTTAGATAAAACCTGAAAAAGATAAAAACAAAGAATAACAGGTTTATTATTCTCCCAGGAAACCTACATTCAAAGATATTGTATTATAGATGAAGTTGAGTTCTGGTCATGCAATCGCATTGTGAAAGAAACGATGTGGAATCAATCAGAAAAGTTGATCATCTAGCAAATAAGTATTGATGTGTACTGCAAGGTTCTGGAATCATCAAAATGATAAGAAATTTGGCCCAGCCTTGGTAAAGTTACAAGCACTGTACACAGGAAGATGTATATGGGGCTACACGAACATGTGGCATAAAAATCCGTCCCAATTTTTATGTTGTTACATGCCATGTTTAGAATATGAAAGCACTTGAAGAGCCATGCTTTTCAGGGAACATTTTTTATATGATGTTCTTCCACACTTGCATCATACAATGATAACGCTCACAAATTATATTTCACCTCTTCCCAGAACTCAACCTTCTCTTTAATGGTGGACTGATGAATATTAATAAGTAAGAATGAGTCAGGAGAGCTGAGGTATTTTATCCAGTTCATCGTGACTGTGCCATGGACCAGTGATGCACTGGTGGAAGGACGGCACGTTCAAACCCTGCTGGTGTCCAAGATTTTTTCTGACTTGTTTTCAATTACAAGATCAAGCACGCAATCTTTGATCTACTGGGTGCAAGCCAAACATTTCTTTACATCAACAGGTTAATTATAACATAAAATAAGTTTGTCAACTGTTTTAGAAACCAGAAGAAAATTACTTTCACATATTGGAAGACAACTATGCTTGTGAGCAATATTATATCAACGGGTATCCTTTCAGGGTATGAAGGTTGCTGAGAAGAAAAAAAATCAGTACATGAATCAGAAATAAAAAATCCAAGTGAATGCTGTACCGGTATATTTAAAAGTTGGTAGACCTTACTGTAAATTCAAACATTCCCAGTATCCCAAATTCTGCACCATATTATACTTCCCTAATAAGTCAATATTAAAATAATTCACTTTCCAAATGTAGGATTCATCAAGAAGTTTAATGAATAAAAACCTGGGGGGTGTTTCACAAAGATCCTAAGTAGAACTTAACTCTAAGTTGGACTTAAAAATTATGGAAAGCCATTAGCATCTTTGAAAATATTTGGTAAAAATATTTTTGAAAGGCATAAAATGTTTATTCAAATCATTCACATTTTCTATCATTAAGGAGATTTCATATTCTTGTTGTGGAATTTATAAAATGTCTAAAATACTTGAATTTCTGCTTTTAAGTTTATTTCATTTTAAGGCTCCAATGGCTGTCCATAATTTTTAAGTCCAACTTAGAGATAAGTTCAACTTCGGATCTTTGTGAAACACCCCCCCTGATTTATGTCATCTCCCCAAAAGAGAAACATGAACAGGAAGACAGGGAAATAGAAAGATGAAAAGCATAAAAAAAGAAAATCAGAGATAGATCTGTAAAACTAATTATCATGCTTAGTGAAACCTGTACATAAAGACCGCTCGAGGGAAACATGAAAAGTCACTAAGTGGTCTTTATAGGCAGGTGGTCTGTATATACAGGTTCCTTTAGTACAGGTTCAATGAGAAGCCATGTTCAAGAGAAACAAAAAGTGTGGTCTTTTTAGACAGGTGGTCTTCCTATACAGGTGGTCTTTCTACACAGGGGGTCTTTCTATACAGGTGGTCTTCCTATACAGGTGGTCTTTCTACACAGGGGGTCTTTCTATACAGGTGGTCTTCCTATACAGGTGGTCTTTCTATACAGGTGGTCTTTCTATACAGGTGGTCTTTCTAATCAGGTGCTCTTTCTTTAAAGGTGGTCTTTCTATACAGGTGGTCTTCCTATACAGGTGGTCTTCCTATACAGGTGGTCTTTCTACACAGGTGGTCTTTCTATACAGGTGGTCTTCCTATACAGGTGGTCTTTCTATACAGGTGGTCTTTCTACACAGGTGGTCTTTCTATACAGGTGGTCTTTCTACACAGGTGGTCTTTCTATACAGGTGGTCTTTCTACACAGGTGGTCTTTCTATACAGGTGGTCTTTCTACACAGGTGGTCTTTCTATACAGGTGGTCTTTCTATACAGGTGGTCTTCCTATACAGGTGGTCTTTCTACACAGGGGGTCTTTCTATACAGGTGGTCTTCCTATACAGGTGGTCTTCCTATACAGGTGCTCTTTCTTTACAGGTGGTCTTTCTATACAGGTGGTCTTTCTATACAGGTGGTCTTCCTATACAGGTGGTCTTTCTACACAGGGGGTCTTTCTATAAAGGTGGTCTTCCTATACAGGTGGTCTTTCTACACAGGGGGTCTTTCTATACAGGTGGTCTTCCTATACAGGTGGTCTTTCTACACAAGGGGTCTTTCTGTACAGGTGGTCTTCCTATACAGGTGGTCTTTCTACACAAGGGGTCTTTCTGTACAGGTGTTCTTTCTATACAGGTGGTCTTCCTACACAGGGGGTCTTTCTATACAGGGGGTCTTTCTATACAGGTGGTCTTCCTATACAGGTGGTCTTTCTACACAGGGGGTCTTTCTATACAGGTGGTCTTCCTATACAGGTGGTCTTTCTACACAAGGGGTCTTTCTGTACAGGTGGTCTTCCTATACAGGTGGTCTTTCTACACAAGGGGTCTTTCTGTACAGGTGGTCTTTCTATACAGGTGGTCTTCCTACACAGGTGGTCTTTCTATACAGGTGGTCTTTCTATACAGGTGGTCTTTCTACACAGGGGGTCTTTCTACACAGGGGGTCTTTCTATACAGGTGGTCTTTCTACACAGGGGGTCTTTCTACACAGGGGGTCTTTCTACACAGGGGGTCTTTCTATACAGGTGGTCTTTCTATACAGGTGGTCTTTCTACACAGGGGGTCTTTCTACACAGGGGGTCTTTCTATACAGGTGGTCTTTCTACACAGGGGGTCTTTCTACACAGGGGGTCTTTCTACACAGGGGGTCTTTCTATACAGGTGGTCTTTCTATATAGGTGGTCCTTCTATACAGGTGGTCGCTATTAAAGCAGGTTTGAATGTACATGTATCTACTTTTTCTAAATGCGAATCAAACATACCTCAGCTTTGTACATCTTTATGAGTCCTTGGTTAACTTTCTGCCAGTGCGGTACTCCACTGATACCCCATAATACGTTAGAATGCTCCGCAAAGGGACCCGTCTTCATCTGCCATCAAGAATAGAAAACAAAATTTTGATATTTTATTTTATTTCTGCTATTTTCTAAATACAATAACTGCATAACAAAGAACATGTAGATGTAAGGTACTATACAAATATACAAACAATATAACTTCAGGTCAAATGTGATTTACATATAAATATAATAATGAACTTAATATTTCTATAATATAGTATTATAAATTCAATTTTTTATCCTAACTATATGTGAGAAAAATTTTTGCAAAGATTACTCTTAGAGCCAAAAGGCATGAAGATGATCTAGAAAGATACATAATAGTTGCGATTGATATCAACTCTTTGTAAGACGGGGCCCTGGCTTTAAAAGATATTTGTTAATGTTTCCTTGAAATTTGATTGCGTTTCATAAAGAAACTGTTAATGCAAAATTTGTTGAAAATTTATCTTTTTTTTCAGAAGGAAATGCACATGATTTCATTTGTAATCTACATGCTTGTTCCACTTTGTGATTAGGAAGACCTGGGGGGTGTTTCACAAAGATCTTAAGTCGAACTTTACTCTAAGTTGGACTTAAAATTATGGACAGTCATTTGTAGCCTTGAAATTGAATATATTCCAAAGCAAAAACATGAAATCTCCTAATAATAATAGAAAATATGAATGATTTGAATCCACATTTATGCTTTTTAAAATAACTTTTACAAAATATTTTCAAAGATGCTAACGGCTTTCCATAATTATTAAGTCCAACTTAGGATCTTTGTGAAACACCCCCCTGCTTACCCTATTGATGAAGTCTACACATCCAAAGAACATGTACTGATCGGCAAAGCCACTTGCTGTCTCGCTCTGTGGAATGCTCTTTGGTGTGAGCCTTGGGTGACCTGTAACGATAGCACGAAATATACTGTTGATGATAGCAGGATGGAACATAGAGGTGTCATGGCCTAGTGGATAAGTCACTAATGTTCTTTGGTTTGCAAGCTTAAATTCATCTTGTTCAAATTTCAAGAACAGTGTTTCACAACAAGATAGGTATTTTTAAATTAAATTAAAACACTGAGAAGAAAGGTGTAAATTAAGTGAAATCTAACATTTGTACAAACCAATGTTTTCCAACAGTTTTATTCATTTGCATTTTCTACGCAGCTACTGGCCTACTAAAATTGTTATGATATTAGGAAAAGGTAAACTTTTCTATGGAATCGACATGATCTACAAAGATTAGCAACATAATAATCTTTTTTTCCCTTTTCTTATGTCATGCTGTTAGAGACTATTGTTTTTTTCCTTTTCTTAAGTCATGCTTTAACCCTATTTTAACTGGGCTATTTCAGACCAGGTTTTTACTGGGGGGGGGGTCAATTTGACCCCCCCCTAAGATCTCGGCCGTTTCACCGCCGATCGCCGCGAAAATTTGCATGCATGTCAAGTGAAGTGTATAGAACACTATAGTAATTTCAATTTTTTGAAAAATTCACTCATTTGCATATTTATGGTAATTTATGCAAATAAGGTCATCAAATTCACATTTCTGCCCGTAAATCATAGATTATTCATGTTTACGTATTCTTTTTCACTACATATATTTATTAGACCATTTGGAATAATAATACAACACAAAAAATTGGAAGAGCCAGGTTATTCCTTATGTTATCTCTTGTTTTTATAATTTCTTATGTATTTCATTGTTTTTTTAACTTATGTATTTTATTGTTTTTGTTTTTTTATTTCATTTATAACTACAATTCAACTATTTTGACCCCAAAACAAACATCTAAACTTTAAACAAGACTGAATAACCAATGTTTTATCTATTTTTAGGAAAAATGACTTTTACATATGTTTTGTACACAAATCACGAAAATGAGCGATTTTCGGGCTGACATGCAAAGACAAAAGGTCACGTGACCTTGTAACCGTAGGTCCGATTTAAAAAAAAATTGTTTCAAAAGATGCGTAAGACTCGAAAGTAAAAAGTCATGAAAGGAAAATTTTATATCTGCCGCGGTTTTGGAGTAGTCGCGAAATTTCTACAGGGGGGGGGTCAAATTGACCCCCCCCCAGTTAACATAGGGTTAAGAGACACATAGACTTTTTGATCTCATCTTTCAAACATTCATAACTTTCTTATTATTGGTCCGACTTCTTTCAAACTTTTGGCATTCTGTTTATCTCATTTTTCTGCTTTCATACAAATGATCTTACAAGGGTTGGATTGCCCTCTAACTACTCACCAATGAGTTGTGAACTACCCCATATAAATGGAAGAAACTGATAGTCATCTAGACCCCAGACCCCTTGGCTCCCAGCCGGCTCCATGTTGTATGTGGTCTGAAGCTTCCTGGTTAAATCTACGTACCTGGAAGAATACACAGGAGAAAGGGGCATAAAGGATGACAAATTGGGCTTCATGACATGCTCCGTATCGGTTATTGAAGGTAAAGATTTCAGAGTTTATACACCATGAAATTCTTTCAAAGGAGTAGGGGCCTGAAAGGACTGGTGAGCTCTGCAATTAGCTCTCTGTTTTGCCTGTTTCAAGAAATGTCATTCTTTATGAGTTTCCAGCCTGTAGCTTGGAACTTCTTAAAGCCCATGTATTAATGTTGGTAAGCGCCTCACAATTGTGTATCGGATTTCTTTGAATTTAGTAGAAACGGCAAGAGACAAGTATTTCTTAGATGCTACATCATTTTTATATCCAAACATTTGTTTCACCTTTCTTGATCTGGTCAAGAAAGATGAATAAATGAATCAATCTGAATAAAAAAGGTTTAATCCTATATCATTTGGCAATAGTTTACATAATATGCTTGTTCCAGTTACATTGTAATAAATTCATTAATAGTATCTAACTGGATATTAGCATACAAGTCAAGAGGTCATTCAATTCAAAATGATATGAACCCTACACTTAAATCTCTCTATCGAACCTGACTCGACATATTAGACATCAGGTTTTGGCTCTTTATAAACAGATCTTCCTCGAAAGCACCTGCATATTAAAGCCCCACTGTACTACTTGTAGTTACTTGCTCCCTTTATATAGAAAAAAATGCCTAATCGGTGACTGTTGGTCCCCCATAATCCTCTTTTTCTTATGTTAATTGAGAGCTGAGTTGATGAGATAGCCACCTGTCAGTGACCTTGCATGGTGGTCTAATCCTTCCTGTAAACTAGTACAGATGGGCTTTAAGACTTGGCCAACCTGCTTCAAGTATATAGAAGTTATTTAGGCCATGAATCGACAAAGCAAAGACCAAAGGGGCATGACCTGACATAGATTTTATTGATTAATGCTAGAGTCTAGAGAGTCACTGGGTAGTTAATTTAGACTTTACCTGACAAAGACTTTATTGACCAATGCTAAGGAGTCGCTTGGAACTAGAACATTGAGTTTGCAGAGGCAGCAGAGAAACGCAGCAAAGGCCATCTCGTGCCCCGTTCCATAGTCTATCCTGGTTTGATTGCCGAAGCCGTCCGTCAGGTATGGTTTGAGTTCAATCACTGCACCTTTCAGGCTTTCTGGCAAGATCTTCGATATCAGGTCAGTGCTATTCTGTGTACAAATGACATAAAAGAGCAGCTTCTAAATGAGGAAGATGCTCGAGACAAGAAGAAGTGGAGAGAGTGTCATCATGGCGCGATAGTCAGTAACACCTCGTAAGAGGAAACATGCTGACTTTAATAAATGATGATAATGGCGATGATGAATAACATTTTGTATACAAAGGAGAGTGGAATTTGTACAACATATAAAATTCTAAGTCATTGACTGGCCACACTGACTTTCCTTTCTTCAATGGCATTCAGCTAATGTTTCCCTACAAGTCTTTCACCCTGCTTCTGGACAAGAAAGGTGAAAGAGTACACCTGAATTTAAAAGAATAATCCCTTTCTGAATTGGGATACTGGCCACACACTTTCACTTGTCTGCACTCCAGTTAATTCAAGGGAGCAGACCGCACTAAAAATCAATAACTTAAAGGCAGGCTTTACAACTTCAGCCAGAAGGGATTAGACCCCCAAGCGAGCCAGCGAGGTCACTGTGACAGGTGGCTATCTCATTAACTCAGCTCTCATTTAACATAAGAAATAGAGGATCATGTGGGACCAACAGGCACCAATTGGGGAAGTTTTCTATATAGAGGGAGCAAGTAGCTACAAGTAGGACAGTGGGGCTTTAAGATAGTTTCATGAATGAGAAGAAGATTGTTTGTTGAATTTTAAGGTGGTAGAAGACATTTAAAAAATATGTTGAGGACTTCACTTGGGAGGGAGTGATTTTAGAGTACATACTTACATCTTGAAGTTTCTGGTGCCACGTTCTGTAGGCCTTGTTTCCAAACCTCTGCGGTTGGTCTATGGGGGGAATCTCAGCGATCCAAGACAACAACTCCTCCAGGAGTGCCAACACCTTCTCACATGCCTAGACAGTAAGTACAAAAAAAAAAAAAAAATGAATTTCAAGAAATCAAGGGAGGATCTCAGCTATCGAAGACATCAACTTTTCCAGGAGTGCCAACACCTTCTCACATGCCTAGACAGTAAGTAAAACAAAAATACAATAAATTTCAAGAACTCAGAAACCTCTGTGGTTGTTCTATAGAGGGAATCTCAGATATCAAAGACATCAACTTTTCCAGGGGTGCCAACACCTTCTCACATGCCTAGACGGTAAGTAAAAAAATAAATAAATATGAATTTAAAGAACTCAGAACTGCTTAGCGAAAACATACAGGAAGACATTAAAGGACAAAAGGACATACAAGGAGTTTCCACACCCTGATTTGATTTATTTAGGCAACTACATATTCCCAGATTGGTTTGGATATTTGGATTTTAACAAGACCTCGTAGTTCCTATCTTAATTTAAGTGTACAACAACATGGTTTATACTAACCGTTGACATTGTGCATTCATCAGTAAGTTTGGTTCCTTTGGCCACATCATTCAGCGCTGACACAAAGAACATGTAGTCTGCATATGCCTACGAGAGATAGAGAGAAAGAGAGAGAGAGAGAAGGGAGAGAGAGAGAGAGAGAGAGAGAGAAAGGTGGGCAGAATATAATTAACTAGATGGAATTTTGACTGCGCGCAGTCGAAAATGATGCCTCCGCCATAGAGCAATTTAAACAAGTTTGGAGTTTAAATCTCCAGTGGTTCTTGAGATATCATGATAACAATCGCAATGTATGGAATTTCATAAGTTGACCTCTGTGACCCTTGACCTTTGACCTACGTGCTCCAAAATCTAATCAGATTGTCTTCCTATGGTGATACACACTATCATTAAGTTTGAAGTTTAAATCTCCAGTGGTTCTTGAGATATTATGATAACAATCTCAATGTATGGAATTTCATAAGTTGACCTCTGTGACCCTTGACCTTTGACCTACGTGCTCCAAAATCTAATCAGATCGTCTTCCTATGGTGATAAATACTATTCCCGAGTCTTAAGTTTAAATCTTAAATGGTTCTTGAGATATTGTGATAACGGTCAAACGGGACGGACGTACGGACGTACGGACGGACAACCCAAAAACATGATGCCTCCGGCACCACCTTCGGTGGCGGAGGCATAAAAATAATTAAAAATTACATATTAGTCCCTAGAGGATGATTCTATTCAGTGTCAATTGCATTTGGAGTTTTCTGTTACAAGAGAATTAAGAAAGTATGTACATATGTAGATTATTGTCTTGTTAGAGGATAACAGTAATCCGGTAGGCATTCAAACCCTGTACCTTGTGGACCAGTCTGGTGACCCAACCCCTAGACCACAACACCTCTGGTGGTATAATGATAATAACCCAGGGCAGCCTCCTCAGTATTAAGATTCTTTTCCAAGGCCTACCAGAAAGAAAGAAAAAATAACCACAGGCAACTTTAAAGCTCTAAATGCCAAATTTTCTGACTTAACTGGGTTTTGCTGGTTACCAAATGAGACAGATATTCCTAGAAAAGGTGCTGGTAAGTGTCTTCTACTTTTCATCTTTTAATTCTTGTATTTTTAATGTCATAATGCGATTTAGAAGAATTCCAGTATTCAAGAATTCAAGGAATTTATTCCTACCGGGTACATATTTACTACACCTGGGTGGAGAGTCGCAAATGGAGATTAATGTCTTGAAAAAAAGAAATTGGTGGGACTCGAGCCTCAAACCAGGTGATTCACGGTCTAGCGAGGTACATGTATCCTCTAGACGGCACCTGCAACTGTTTGATGTAAATTGGAGTGATGTGTGTAAGAGTAAAAAAACGAGCTCTATGAAACATGTACTGATGTAGAGTTGGATAATCACCTGTGATTCTAGCCATTTCTTCATATGCTCTGGTACTTTGACCTCTTTCACTGGAGTCATAAAGTCGCTTGGAATCAAAGGGGCACTTGGACTTTGACCTATAAAATGGGGGAAAAGAATACATTTACATACTAAATAACTGGTAGATAAACTTCTTCATTATATTTCTTTTATCCATTTTCTGCTTCAGGTTCAGGAAGTTCAGACCTCTGAAGGATTCTGACTAGTAACACTCCAACAAAGCATAGAGAGTCAATGCTAATGCGTATTGACCTCTAGCACTGCACTACGTGCCAAGAGGCTGCAATTGCACACATGAATAGTCAATTCACACAATACACACAAATGCACACACTAAATACGATGTGGCTGATCGGCAAGTTTGACAGTAGACTTACAATTTTATTTTTTAAATTATTCTTTCTAACATTAGTAAGTTGCAAAAAATTGTATTTTACTGCTATTTAGGTGTCATCAATTGTCACTAAAGGACTGATTTTGAGTGAAATCAGTTGAGTTTTGTAATGTTTGAAATGTTGAGAATTAATACAGACAATAGCACAGCATTTATACACAGCCAGGATAGTAATAGGGTGTCTGATCGCGCACTCGATGTTGTGTGCTAAAATCCTTCCCATAGAGATTTCACGCATCCGTATGCAGTCTATGTGCATTGCGCGATCATGCAAAATTGGTCAATGTTTTTATTACCAAATTGAGATTCAAACCTTTATTGCTCGTGATCCCGAAGGTGATACTCAATAAATGAGGTGTCATATGAAAGAGCAGGTTTATCTCCATATTTCAAAAGGGGCGTCATTTTGGAATTCTAAAAACATCTTGGTCAAAACAGCGATTTAAGCATTGTTTCCTTGCTAGCTCTGAGATTTGCCACTTTTGAGTCATAAGGAATATATCCATGCGCTTATTTTTTTGCTACCCCCCAGGGATCACAAACAATTACAGTTTGAAAATACCCTTCCCCCAATTTTCCGGATCAGCTAAGTAGGGAGGCATGAGCTCCGCTAAGCCCAAACCCATGGTGACACCACGTAAAATCTGCACATGCATATCATAAAATATTATCACCGAGCCCTAACCTAGCATGAAGAACTTTGTGCATCTAGCGCTGTACAACAAATTTATGCGCTCTCATTGGCCGGTCCGCTCCAGTTTAAGTGCGAGAGGAACTACTTTACTTAGGCACAACTTAGCGCAACTTAAGTTCAATGGCAAAGTCAATACGTAATATTACGTCACACGACAGAGATTTTGACACGTCCTGTTTTAAACAGGTGACGCACACACATAAAATAGAAAAATCAATGAACATTTCTGTATAAATTTCCAGTTTATACCGTAAATATGACGAAAATGAGAATTGCTCCAACTTAAAAAATAGTTAAGTGAAACTTAAACTTAACAAATAGAGCGTTTGACTGAAATATCATAACTTTTGTATCGAAAAAAACCCAGAAAATCGCAAGCTTGTTCCTCGCACAAATATCTTATAGCATTGAGTGAACAGAGACCAGCGATAGCCAATCATACCCATGTCAGCCGGGCTAGGCGCCAACTTATTAAGATGAGGCTGAGATCGGATGAGCGATCTGCGCATGCGCTAATTCATTGTAGACTAAGCTAGATCTCTTCGTGCCTAGGTTCGGGCAGAGCGGAGCTCACGCCTCCCTATTTAGCTGATCCCCAAAATAGGGGGAAGGATATTTTCAAACTGTTATTGCTTGAAATCCCTTGGGGCTAGCAAAAAAATAAGCGCATGTATATTATCCTTACATCTAGCCCTACATAAGCCTCGGGAGTTCGGAGATCGGAGCTACGATGGAAATGACTTTAAATCGCTGTTTTGATCAAGATATTTTTAGAGTTCCAAAATGAGCTCCTTGGCTTTGGGGAACATGGAGAAAAACCTGTTCTTTCATATGACATCTCATTTATTGAGTATCACCTTCAGGATCACGAGCGATAAAGGTTTGAATCTCAATTTGGTAATAAAAACATTGACCAATTTTGCATCATCGCGCAAAAGCACGTATACTGCATAGGGATGCGTGCAATCTCTATGGGAAGTATTTTAGCACACAACATACATGAAGATCTATGTATGGGCCTTGGGTGAAGAAAAAGGAGACCTAGTCCTAGCCAAGGCAAAGCATAGGTCGGAAACACCTTTTTATAAAGTGGTTGTGCAATAAAAGAACAAGAAAATAAGAGATCTAGTTGAACAGATACAAAATAGACGTTTAAATTTACCACTTTCTGCCATGGTTCAACGTTTGTTGTTGTTCAGAATCGGCAATTGTTCATGTGAGATGAGAATTGTCTCGACGATGGCGCGCACTTTCAACTCGACTTCGCTATATTTCGGTATCCTGCTCTAAACAATTCGGTACCAGAAAAGACGATCTTGATTCTCGAGTCGCTGAAACATCACATCCTTTGTTATAAAATGTTATGTTTCAAAAAATAAATCATATAATTTTTTATACAAACATAATCAGGCTTCAGCCAAGACAATATTTTTTTTTTTTTTTTAAAGAAGTGAATGAGCTCGTTCTATAAAAGGCTAAATAACAAAAATGAAGTGTTTCTTGCCCGCCCCCCCCCCCCCTCAGTGTTATTTAGGGTACGCATAATTATGCTTGTTCCCTCTTTTTGAAAGCACCCCCTATCTGAGGACTGCCAACATTTTCGAAACCCCCTGTCGTGGGCTTTTCGCAGGCTTTTCCTGCCTTGGAGACCCCCCTAAATCATGAAAAATGCTCAATGTACCCCCTAAATTCGGAATAATTTCTCAGGAGTCCAAGAAATGAGAGAGAGAGAGAAAAAAAAAAATCTTTTTAAAGAAATCTCCGGGTGAAAAGTTAATACACCCCCTTTTTTTACAATTATCGGGCCGGACTTTGTCGCACGAAAAGTACCCCTTTACCGGACATTTTGGTAACACGCATGGGGTCATTCCGACCCCGGAGTTGGGGGGGGGGGGGGCGGGGGCAGCCATCTTGGGAAAAAATTGCAAAATAGTAAATAGTAATGTCCTGCCTCCTCCTGTCTTTAAAAAGTCCGGACGAGAAACACATTATTTTAGTTATTTGACCTAAACATAATACTAATATCAAAGACTTTCAAGAAATTGACTGAGGGACCACTTCAATATCCAACAGATCGCCCATCAAATAAATGTAGGGATACTTTTATATACAACAGTCGGAGAAGCAATCGAAGTGTCACTCCTGTGATAAAGAAAATACTCCAAAGTGTAAACATGCCGCTGTTGCCTGTCCCTAAGCGCCCCGTTCCTATTCAATCCTTATTTCCTATGTGTCCCGTCCCTATTTCTAACATGCCTGACATATGTCAACCACCCCTTTAAATCACCAACTATATATATCACATTCTTACTCATGGGCGGATCCAGCCGGCGGCAGGGGAGGGCCCGGGCCCAATTCGTGAGAAAATATTTAGCGGCGAAACAGCCAGCCGGTGAATAAGCGGGGGGGGGGGGGGGGGAGCACATTTTTGTTGGCTCTCGACAATTTTTGACAAATCTCAGCCCCCCCCCCTGCGGAGCGCCAGGGGAGAGAGCCCATCTCCCCCCAAAAAGGGTAAAATTAATGTGTTTTTACCTGTTTTTTCTGGATCCGCCACTGTTCTCACTATTGTAACAGGTGAGTGAAATAATTTGTAACATGGCACTTATCAAAAATGTATGCAATAAATTTGATTACATTACGAAAATGGTCTATGATTAGAAAAATGATGGCGCAACGCACTACATGGTCACACTTTGTTGTGGTAGATTTGTTTTCTTCTCTCTCTCTCTCTCCCACTTTCTGCCTCTCTCTGTCTTTTTAAATATCTTGCATGTCATATTATTCATATTTCATATTAGATCATATCGCATTTTATTGATTCTAAATGAGAAATAATGACTAAATTATTAAATGTGAATTCATTGAACCATTTATTTATTTAAAAATTACAATTATTAAACTACGATTTCTATAAACGAAACTTTCAACAAGCATCATACATGATTATATCAACACCAAAGTAATCCACTTACAAGTTACAACGATCATACTGAAATAAGAGTTGAAATATTACGATATATAAATACAAGTTCCAAGATCTCTTGTACATTTTTGGTGTTGGACTTTTCACCGAATACATATTAAGAAACAACTACAATTTTCTTTAGATTTTGACTTTTTGTTGTTGTTGGAATTCAGATGACGCAAATAGAAATAAGGTTTTATCAATTTATTGTGATTGCGTAAGGAATGAATAAATATGCTATAACAGTAAGTGTAACTCCATTGATTTACTGTATTAATCTGTAAATGAAAAGTAAAATTTGAATACAAGACTAATGCAATAGTTACTTCTTTTGGACTCAACATTGAGTTTCACATGATCGCAAGAGCCACCTGTTTTTTGACCCACATAATTGCCGCTATTGTAAAAATTAAGGTAAAACTGTGAACTTTCATTTCCCCAGTTCTGTTTTCAGTAGGCACATACAGGATGCTTGTGGCAATATACTTTCTAAATTTACAGTAAAGAAATTCACTCTTTAAGGAGTCATTTTAGGTATAATTTCATTTAGAGTGAAAAATCCACGCTAAAAAGAGTGGAATTATCTCTTAAAGAGAAATTAAACCACTACTTTGAAGTGGATCATTCTATAATTACATGGATTCAACTCCCTAATGTGACCCCTAAATAAGTGAAATAGATTTCCACTCCTCTGAATTTAAAGAGGTCCAGGTCCCACCGGCCCTAGCGGCTCAAGTTCGATGACAATACAACATTCTGGCCAACAGATGATAATAATATCGGTTACTGTTGCTCTAGCTAATCTTCGTTGTCTGGATGCAACCATGTTGTCCTCTAACCAGTAGCTGGCTCTACCAGCGCAAAGGGCCCCGACGGTTGTACCACTGGACCCTTGAAGGAAACCCACGGGGATCTCGCCGACGTTCACAAAGTTCATGTCGGTCAACTCTCGGGCTACGATGTCAAGCACTTCACCCTGGATTAGAGAGAGAGAGAGGGAATGTTATTAAATGTAACATTAGTATTATTACTATTAATATGATGGATTTATATAGCGCTTAAAACATCTACGATATACTTAAGCGCTTTACAGATATCATTACCCTGCTCATTAGATTTATGCTGGCATGCACACAATGCAGGCCTGTGCGTCTTCCCCACTTTTTGTGGAGCATTCCAGCCGGGCGCCTTTTAAAAGACGCTGCATCCTACCAGGAACCCATTTTAAACACAGGGTGAATAATGAAGAATACTTAACCAACAGCTTAAAGTTCTCAGAGAGCTAAGGGCATATATAATTGATTTTATTGTAATCTATGACTCATAAGTTTTCCATTAATATATTAATCATCTATTTCATTGTTCACTTCCGACAGGGTCTTTAATATATCGATATTGGGGACTTTTAGATTTGCACAACGGAGAACATGGACTGCCCTTTTAAGGCAATGTGACGTGACTGACGTCCTTTAAGGCACTGGCAGTGACGTCACATTGCCTTAAAAGAGCAGTCCACGTTCTCCGTCGTGCAAATCTAAAAGTCCCTATTATATAAACATGAATATGCCACCTACCTCATTTTGCTCGCCCTCTTCTGACATGAATTTTTGGAGGTTGTTAGCCATTTCTGCAGGCCATGGGAATGCAATGCAGATGTTTTCATCGTGTACGTTGACAAAGACTAGGGACTGTGGGTAAGAGATACAAAACATCATGGAAAAGTATATTAATTATCAGCCAAAAGAAACGGAAATTTAATGGAAATCTTTAAATTTAAATGATTTATTCTTTACTGTATTTTGTTAACAAAATTTAAGACAAGGAAGTTTGAGCAAAAAAGTTAGGGCTCATAAGTGAAGGGAGGATGTGAGAGAAAGTACTATCCTTTCAACCTCCGCTCCCTCTCCCCCTCCCCCTCCCCCCTCTCTCTCTCTCTCCCTCAGTCTCACTCTCTCTCTCTCCCTCAGTCTCTCTCTTTCTCTCTCACAATCACTCCCCTCCTCTCTCTTCCTCTATTGATATAAAATCTTGACATAATCATCATTAAATATAAACATATTTTAAAATAAAGTAGAAGTCCGCTGAATTTGACTGGAAGGGGAATGTGCCCCCTCCCGTTGCCCTCGTGTGGAATAATCGAGACAGCCGGGTTTAAAGCCACACTGTCCTACTTGTAGCTACTTGCTCCCTTTATATAGAAAACAATGCCTAACCGGTGACCATTGGTCCCCCATGATCCTCTTTTTCTTATGTTAATTGAGAGCTGAGTTGATGAGATAACCACCTGTCCAGTGACCTTGCACGGAGGTCTAATCCCTCCCGGCCAAACTAGTGCCGATAGATTTGAATACATGTACATACCCGATCGTAGTCCAATGCTACGGTAGCCCGAGAGTAGCCGCTGAAGTTACTGGGCGGGGTGTGGATGAGAAGGGTATTGCTGGCTTGAATGTACTCGAACTGTTCTGTCATTATACGACCGTCTCCCATCACCAACCTTGTCTCCTTCGTCTAAACGAAAAATAAAACGTTTTAAAATAAAATATGATTATTATTTTTCGTTTGCACAAAATATAATTCGCACAGTTTTTAAACTATCACGACAGTCTTTCATGACAGTCTAGGCCACGTAAAGAAGGCCTAGAGAATCTTCCTTCGACAGGGAAAATTGTGGGAAGAAGGAGTAGGGGAAGAAGGAGAATACTTTGGATGGACAGTCTGCAGAAATTGTTGGAAGAGAGAGGAGTGAAAGAACTGGTACTAGTACTAATACAGAAGTCTAGGTGCCGAGGGTTGTGGAACAGCATGGTCGCCAAAGTCAAACGATATGGCACGTTCTTGTTCATAATGTTGGGTCTACTTACTTCTCAAAGTCTATGAAACTTGAAATAATGCACTATCTATAAAGATTGAACAGATTGTCCCTGTGACTGACAGGGATAGTCTAAACTGTTCATTGAGGCCATCCAAGGGGACCGGAGGAGTGGCCACTCTAGACAGGTGACATTTCAAAACTGTTTGCACAACACATACTGCTCCCTAGCGGGGTCTTAATAACTGGTGATCACAGCACATTGGCAGAGACAGCTTTACACATGAACAAGCGAAATAAAACACGACATAAGTTAGAGAATATGTGACCATTGTTACTGCACAATTATCAATGTATTTCAGGTTATAGGTTACAGAACAGCGATGGCTCACAGGTAGAGCAGTGGTCTCATAACGGGGAGGTCCCGGGTCCGAAACCAAGCCGATTCGCTATAGTGCTCTTTGGTAAGGTATTAATCCTCATTACCAAGTCCTTCGGAGAGGACTTAAACCGTCGGTCCTCTGGTTGCTTACTTACAAGAATACATATGCTTTCTAATAGCCTTTCTTAGCTGTCGGGTAAAACAGACCATGAACCCAAACCTTAAACTTCTGCACCATAATTACAATTTCGACCTAAATGCAAAATGATCTAGAATATTTAGTGTCTCCCCCTTTTATTATTATTTTCCTAGGGGAAGGGTAGCAATACACACATATTCTAATAATGTTTTTAATCTTTTTTTAAAGTCCACTCCAAATTCTATTAAATCGAAAATGGAAATCCTTTTTGCCCAATTGATCGTGAGCCCGGCAGCCACTGAGCAGCGCCAGATCCCTTAAATGTTGAACGCCAAACAAGGTAGCAGCATTGCAACTCCCGTATTTTAACGTCTTTTGGTATGACGCGGCCGGGGTTCGAACCCACGACCTCCCGGTTGTGAGGCAGACGCTCATCTGACTGAGCTAACACACCGGAGGCATCTAGGATCATAATATGCTTACCATATCACTGTCAAAAATGCCTGCTTTTTCTCCCGGAATAAAGTCTTCCCCCGTGCACTGATTGCCACCATCTTGAGCGATCCAAACGGCTCCAAGAATACACCCTCCCAGCACCAAGCTAGTCAAGACGACGGTTGAGAAGATGGTCACAGATCGAATGGTCGTCAGACGAACCGAGTCTGATTGGCTCTCCTGAGGAGATACCTGATATACTTCCTAGGGGGGAAATGGAAAAGGAAAAGGAAGGGGGAAAAGAATCAGTTATATAGTTACATGGAAAGAAGGTGAGGGGAAGACCTCGTACAGGCTTTCTAGATGATTTGATTGCGGAATGTGGAGCAACAGGATGTGAAATGCTGAAACGGATGGCTAAAGACCGAAGTACTTGGAGAGACACTTCAAGTAGAACTCTGATTGGGTCACTGAACCTGTCATAAACTGATAGATCACTATTGATGATGATATAGTATGAGCGTTAATTGTTCTGTATATAATTTTTTTTACTGCAAGCAGGGCTTTATCCGAGACACATTACATTATCAATTGGATACTCCACTTATTATTCGGTTCAACTGTCCCCAATCTGCCGCATCAACAGGCATTAAAAAAAACGCCCCCGGGTAAACTGAAGAGCAGCAGAAAATATCTTTAACATTCAATAGTTGAGTTGGAAGAAAAAATTTAACTATAAATGCACGAGTGACGATTCAAATGGTATGGAAAATATGAATTAGATATCGAATGCAAGCATACGGCTCCCCCACTGACACTTACTTTGAGTCCCTTTTCCATGCTGGTAGTAAACTGCAACTTGATCGCGTACAACGGTTTTAGTAGATACGAGCCTCAGGATTTTTCGATGGATTAGCGGTATATGAACTTGCGATGTCTCAGGTTGATAAGAGAGTCAGCCAGTAGGATGTCTCGCTTTGAATGAGGATTCTGAATTTTGAGAGCAGTTTCAGCAGTTTTTATAGACCTTTTTCAACTCGGAAGTGGCAATTCTTCACGGGGTTTCATGGAAGATCAGATATTATACAAAATAAAAGTTATTCAACCAACAAACTACGTTAATGAAACGTAAGTCGAAATCTGCTTCCTGATTGGTAGGTCTGCATTAAGGGGTGTGTCCCGCTTTTCGCTAGTCCGTGATTGGTTGGAAGTATTCATGCGCTATAATTTCGAGGTAATATTTACGAAATAGAGACGTATTCACAGATCCGGTGTTCAATATTTAGTATATGATGTAATTTTCGTCACCACGGTCTCCAATATATTCAATATCTATTATTCAGATAAAGTCCGGGATTTACAAAGAAAGATGGTGGCTTAGAAAGTTATTAGATAGTTATGAAAGCACAAAATAAATTTATTCTTATTTCCTTGGTTTTATCGACTAAAGATTCCAACAGTTTTATTAAAAAAAAAAAAAAATTCTTACAACTGAAATGGCAAACTGAACAAAATAACAAAATTATTTACTTAATAAAAAAAACACTGTTTATCATTGATTTGCACAAAGCATAAAACATTATTTTGTACATGTAGTATCGTATTTCGGCAGTTATTCTGTGCAGTCAATGGAAGAAGGGAACGATATTATTTTTCTTCTCGAATGTCCTTGATTGGTATGTATTATTATGAAGTGTGTAGTGTTGTAATCACTGTCTTTTCACCCGTCAAGGAATATCCGGGACCTGGACAAGTAACCAAATAAATAATATAAAAACTTCACAAATTTAATGACAACCACGGTATTCTGAAGAAAAAATAAACGAACATGCTAAAACTGCATTGCTCCTTCTTTAAAAAAAGTCAAGCAAATACATTCTCAAATGATTTACAATAATATGGTAGCTTCCCCCACTTATTTACGTCATGTCAATTGAATAAAGTTTCATAAAAGAAAGAAGCAACTTTAATCAGGATGCTATTTCATCTCTTTGTTATCATCAAATTTATGGCTTTTGATAGTTTTTTTGGTGGGATTTCTAGATTATGAATAATGAAAGTTAAGATGAAACTTGATATAGTATCTGTACATGATTATTTATATTTTACCTCTGCTATCATTCATTATGTTATCTCGTATAAATATGTTTGATTTATTTCTGATCAATCTTCTAATCCTGAATTTGACAACCGATTATATGTAAAGAAGGAGGCGAGGTGGCTCAGTCTGTCAAACCAAAAATCTTGGATTCGAATCTAGCCCAGGCGGATGACCAAAGCCTTCGTTGTATGTTAAAGATAAAGACCAGTTATGGTCATGCGATTGCATTGTGAAAGAAACGTTGTGGAATCGATCAGAAAAGGTTGATCATCTAGCATATAAGTATTGGTGTGTACTGCAAGGTTCTGGAATCATCTAAATGATAATAAATTTGGCCCAGTCTTGGTAAAGTTACAAGCACTGAACACAGAAAGATGTATATGGGACTACGCGACACGTGCGCGATATCTATCAGGTCCAAATAGATATAATAATTTACCAAATATATCAATTAGTAGGCGGTTTCTCGGCAAAATTTGTATCATCACGTATTAGTCAAAACATATTCTTTCACATGATTGGTAATAAGAGCTTCCATTTCATTTTTTTAGAGGGCCGGCGTGTTTCCAAAACTGATCTTTACCTTTAACGTGCCCCTCTCCTGTTTCGTAAACACAATGCTATACATGATGCAGAGGGAAATATGAACCCACTGCGTGTATGTGTCGGGGAAAACATATGTGAAGTGGTCCCTACAGGCCACATGCACATCCCAATCAGTTATATCGGGAAGAGAGACCCGAGGATTACACCATTACGGTGATGCAGTTCGTTATCCTCCACCCATGCACAGGTGACACCAAATACTTACTACTACTCTCTACTACTACTACTACTACTACTACTACTACTACTACTACTACTACTACTACTACTACTACTACTACTACTACCACCACTACTATACTACTGATGATGATGATGACTATGGTGATAATAATAATAGACCAAATAATAATAATAATATTAATAATAATGATACTATTACTACTACTAACACTAGTAATAATTATACTACTACTAATAATAATAACAATGAGTGATAATAGTTATATCGAGAAGACCTCATAATAATTCATAATCATTTATATAATTCATAATTTTTCCAGACATATCATTGAATTGAATTGACAAGTAATTTCCATTCATCGGAATTATATCCTTGTGTGACACAACAAGGTACATAATAAAAATAAACCATAACCTAGAAGAAATCCGTCAGAGGTCGAACAAGACCAACAACGTAATCACACTTTAATGGCATTATATTCACGGATGTGGATACTATTTATCCATTTGCCACTATTCATCGTGCGCAAACACCGTGGAGAGTTACAGTTAAAGGATTACAACCAGACGCTTGTGGTAAACCAGACTATAATAATGCTTGAAATGGGTCATTGAATTTGTGTCGACATATGATTAATCAAAAATTGTTGCTCTCTAACAATTCATGATTCCCAAATACGAACGAGACGATTTTACCTTGACTGAACACTCTCTTTCACTGTCAGCTAGTGATGTATTTTACTGTTACTGCTGCTTCCAACACCATGCACTACCTCAACGCACCGATATCCCAACACTACCACCACAACCATGCACCACCACCACCACCACCACGATCATCACCACAA